TCCCTCCCACCCCATCCAAAGAAGCACACAACAAATACAAAAGCCCCAGCGAGGGACTGCACGCTAGAAGGGAAGGAGAGAAGGGAGCTGCGCTTTCTTGCTGAAGTGTAGACACCCTGTACTTGGGCCCCTGCTAGACAGCCACGTGTTTCCTCAGCCTGCAGAGAAATCCCACGGAGACCGCGCCCGGGTCCTCGGCTTCAGCCAATCTCCCTTTGGTGGGGGTGGGATGTACGATCCAGGGTTTTATTGGCTACAGACAGCGGGGTGTGTTCCGCCCAGAGCGCACGTTGGCTTCCGAGGGCATCTGGGATCCCCGGGTGGGCGAAGCGCAGTCTCCGCGTGCAGGCCCAGCCAAGGCCGGGGGAGGAGGCCAGACCGCCTCCAAGAGGCACCAGCTCACTCTGGGGGTCCGGAGCCGCCGCCCGCGCTGCTTCCACCCAGCGCTCCGGACTCCCTCTCTTTACCCCGAGAGAGGCTTGACCTTGAAATCCAGGCTCCATCCCTAGCTAGCGTGTGACCTTGGGCAGCTGACTTTATTTTTCAGTGCGTAGTTTTCCAGATACCAGGACTGACTTCAAGGACTATTACTCATCTGGAGGGTATAGCGCAATGATCTGAAACGAAATAGGCAAATCTTTTTTTTTTTTTGATAAATCTTCCTCTGTTGTCCTGATCTCGGCTCACTGCAACCTCCGCCTCCGGTGTTCAAGAGATTCTCCTGCCTCAGCCTCCTGAGTAGGTGGGATTACGGGTGCGCGCCATGACACCCAGCTAATTTTTGTATTTTTAGTAGAGACAGGGTTTTGCCATCTTGGCCAGGCTGGTCTAACTCTTGACCTCAGATGATCTGCTCGCCTCTGCCTCCCAAAATGCTAGGATTACAGGGGTAAACCACCGCTCCCGGCCAGAAAGAAAATAAGCAAATCTTTTAACCTGCTCTAATAATACAGTGAAAAGACCATATCATTATTAAAGGAGGCTAAGGGATTTGCCTATTTCAGGTTTTTGGACTTAAGAGTACTGAACAGTCTTGGGCGAGTTGCTTCTGATGGGCCTGTTTCCCCATCTGTCACGTGATAAACTTCACTGGTTTAAAAACTCCAGCGAACCTTTATTGAGTTACTATTACCTTCCTGCCTTCCCCAACCCCAACCCCAACCCCAGGGGGCAGTTACAACTGTCACTCAGCTGCGGGCACTCGCGGGATTTACGGAGCACCAAAGACAGGGAGGCTTGATTCATTTTGCTGTGGGAGTAGAGGGAGGGTCAGAAGATTCCAAGGAAAATGGCATTTGAGCAAGGATGATTCAATGGAGCTTGCTTTTAAATACTGGTGACTTTTTAGGTTGCAGCTCCTTACAAAGCTGAGCATTCGCAGGGATTGCATTCCGCAATAAGCCCGCTTCCCCCTTTCATTCGCGAGGTCACCGTGACCGAGGGAGCGGCTGGTTCCGCATGCAGCAGGTTGTGCCTTTTCCCAGTCAGGGTTCTGCATCGAACCCGCGGGTCGCGGTGGGCTGCGGCAGGGGCTGGCGTGCAGGGTGAAAGCTGCTCGTGCCGGCCTGCGCCTGTGAGCAAAACTCGAACGGAGGAGCAGGAGGGGTCGAGCCCGAGCGTGGCAGGGTTGGCCCTGCCTTTTAGGAGGGCACACTCTGAAGGGTGCCCAGGGGCCGGAAGCCCCGGACCTAAGGCCCGCGCCGTCCCCGCTGCAGGGAGGGCTCTCCCTCGAGGCGGGTTGGTTTTGCAGAGACTGGGTCTGCAGCGCTCCACCGAGGGCCAGCGACAGACACCACGAAGCAGCTGCAGGAACCGTGGTTCGCCCCAGGCACCCCGGGGCCCGGGCTAGAGGCTCGGATCGCACGCGCGTGGGGTCACGTGGGCGATGCGGGCGCGCGCCCCTGTACCCGCGGGAGGGGATGGGGGAAAGGGGCGGAGCTGGCGCTTGACCTCCCGTGAAGCTTAGCGCGGGGAAGGACCGGAACTCCCGCGGGCGGCTTGTTGATAATATGGCGGCTGGAGCTGCCTGGGCATCCCGAGGAGGCGGTGGGGCCAACTCCCGGAAGAAGGGTCTCTTTTCGCGCTAGTGCGGCGGCCCCCCTGGACCCGGAAGTCCGGGCTGGTTGCTGAATGAGGGGAGCCGGGCCCTCCCCGCGCCAGTCCCCCCGCACCCTCCGCCCCGACCCGGGCCCCGCCATGTCCTTCTTCCGGCGGAAAGGTAGCTGAGGGGACGCCGGCGGGGAGTCAGGCCGGGCATCAGGGGCGGCGGTGGGGCAGGTGGGCCTGCGAGGGCTTCCTCCAGGGCTGCAGCAAGGCCTTCGGCGAGCCTCGGCCTCCGCGCAGACGCCTCCTGAGTGTCTTGCTCTGCTCCGGGACTCTTCTGGTAGGGAAAAGGTGGCCTTCTTGCGCGAGGTCAGAGAATTGTCGCGCCGGTTCAGAAGCGATTGCTGAAACCCACAGAAGTTCATGCGTATATGCTTAAGAACAGTTCTTAGGGGAGTTTTAGTTTTTTTGTGTTCTTTCTGCACTGTGGATCAAGATCAAGGAAATCTCTCTAGTACCTTATTTTGGAAGTCTGAGTTTTCCAAATAATTGAGGGTTTTATGTGTAAAAGCAACACGTGAAAAATTATTTTATTCAACCAGTGCTGTCTTCCAGTTTCCTCTTTGGGGGGAGGGGTAGTTACTGCCGTTCCTAAAATAAAATTACTTATTGCTAAAGTTCCCCAACAGGAAGACCACTACTTTTGATGACTTCGCAAGTTTACTAACTACTGGAACCCTAACTTTAGAAACGAACTACTTATATTTTTGATTTTCAGTTGTATTACCTGCCCAATATTTAGGTAGAAGCAGCTTGATTTTGATTCTGAGTAAGGTTGTTGCACTTAGTTAAAATACATATCCGAAGTGAGCAAGTGTGGGTCTGTGAGCAATAGTGATTTTTCCTGTCAATTCTTGTTGTTTCAGATAAAATGTACCAGACAGAAATGGGTTTGTTTTGTTTTGAGATGGAGTTTCGCTCTTGTCTCCCAGGCTGGAGTGCAATGGTGCGATCTCCGGTTCAGTCGATTCTCCTGCCTCAGCTTCCCAAGTTGCTGGGATTACAAGCATGCCCCACCATGCCTGGCTAGTTTTTGTATTTTTAGTAGAGACGGGATTTCACCATGTTGGTCAGGCTGGTCTTGAACCCCTGACCCTGACTACAAGTGATCTGCCCGCCTCGTCCTCCCAAACTGCTAGTATTACAAGTGTGAGCTACCACACCCCGCCAAAAATGGGTTGTGGAAAAAGCACTAAATAAAATCAGGAACTTGGATTCATATGACAGCTCTGCTATTAACTGTAATGGGGGACAGACCAGTTAACCTACTTTTCTGTCTTCTGTGAGCTGAGAATTAGATGATTCCCAAAGGCCTGTTGAACTCGGAATGACTTTAACTACTTCTTGAGTAGGCACAGGGTTTTGGTAACTGATGCTAGGTGCTGAATGAATGAAAGTGCTGAATGAATGAAACTGGTGAAATAGGAGGAAGCCTGATTGGTAAGGCAGGGGTATACTTAATAGCTCTCTAGTTGATTGTTGCTGAAGTGGTTAACTTTGTTTTTTTAAGGGAGGAAAAAGCATTCTAAGAATAACGAGGCAGATTGCGTGTTGCACAAGAGACTGTTGTCTGTATTCAACAAATATCTTTTGAGTGTCCACAGTCTGCCAGGCGCTGTGTTGGCCCTCACTGTCAGGTAATGAACAAGACAATGTCCCTGCACCCATGGAGCTTATTGTCTGCTGGGATAAACAGACAATAAGTAAGCAAACAAATCTCTCTTCTCCCTCTTGCTCCGTCTAAGTGTGTGTATAGGTGTATATTTACAAATGGAGTAAACTGTTATGAAAGATTAAAGAGGAGAAACGCATTTTGGTTAGATGTTAGATAGAGACCTCAGCAGGTGACCTTGAAACTTACAGCTGAAGGATCAGTAGGAGATAACTAGAGAGGCCAGCGAATAGCATGTTCAAAGTTCGGGTGGCAAGAAAGAGCATGGTGCCCTTCAAGAGAGGAAAGAAGGCTGCTGTGACTGGGACATAGATGCGGGCAAGTATCAGGTGATTGAGAGCTCTATAGGCCATGGTTAGGTTTTATTCCCAATGCCGAGATGCCAAACATGGTGGCTCACGCCTGTAACCCCAGTACTTTAGGAGGCCGAGGCAGGAGGATAGCTTGAGCCCAGGAGTTAGGACCAGCCTGAGCAACGTGAGACCTGTACAAAATGTTGAAAAATTAGCTAGGTATGGTGGTGCAACCTGTGGTCCCAGCTGCTCAGGAAGCTGAGGTGGAAGAATCACTTGGGCCTCGGAGGTGGAGGCTACAAAGAGCCATATTTGAGTCACTACACTCCAGCCTGGATGACAAAGTGAGACCCTGTCTCAAAACAAAATACAGAGAGAATATTAATTTAAAATTTTGAAAGAGGAGTGATCTGAACTTAAAAAAGATCATTCTAGGTCACAGTGGGTTACTCCTGTAATGAAGCACTGTGGGAGGCTGAGACAGGAGGATTACCTGAGGCCAGTTCAAGATCAACCTGCACAGCATAAAGAGACTCCATCTCTACAAAAAGAAGAAAAAAAAAAAATAACTGAGTGTTGTGAGCTATTCTGGAGGCTGAAGCAGAAAGATCACTTGAGCCCAGGAGTTTGAGGCTGCAGTAAGGTATGATCCCACCACTGCAACACAGTGAGACCCTGTCTCAAAGAAAAAAAAAATTGTTGTAGATGCTTTCTGGAGGCTGGATGTGGCAAGAGTAGAAGCTGGAGATGGTCCTATTAGGGATTCGATGCAGGCTTTAAATAGAACCAATGCGTGGATGATTCCCAAATTTAATCTTTACAACTTGGATCCTTGCCCTGGAATCCAGACTGGTGGATCCAACTTTAGGTTCACTTTATATCTCTACCTGACTATCTAATACGGGGTGTCCAATCTTTTGGTTTCCCTGGGCCACTTTGGAAGAGTTGTCTTGGGCCACACGTAAAATACACTAATGCTAACAATAGCTGATGAGGTTTAAAAAAAAAAAAAAAAAGGCTTGGCATGATTGCTCACACCAGTAATCCCAGCATTTTGGGAGGCCAAGGTGGGTGGATCACGAGGTCAAGAGATCGAGACCATCCTGGCCAACATGGCGAAACCCCGTCTCTACTAAAAAATACAAAAATTAGCTGGATGTGGTGGCATGCACCTGTAGTCCCAGCTACTAGGGAGGCTGAGGCAGGAGAATTGCTTGAACCCAGGAGGAGGAGATTGCAGTCAGCCAAGATTGTGCCAGTGTACTCCAGCCTGGCGCCTGGCAACAGAGCAAGACTCGGTCTCAAAAAAAAAAAAAAGTCACAAAAACTCATAATGTTTCAAGAAAGTTTACAAATTTGTGTTGGGAACATTTAAAGCCATGGTGGGCTGCATGCAGGACAACTTGATCCAATAGATACCTTGAACTTACGATATCTAAAATTTTATGCCAGATTTAGTACTTTTAAACATGTTCACCAGTTTTTCTCATTTCAATAAGTAGCATTTTTCGATTTTTTCTGAGGCTTTTTCTTTTTTTCTTGGAGTGTTTAGCTCTTACTGCCCAGGCTGGAGTGCAGTGGCGTGATCTCAGCTCACTGCAACCTCTGCCTTCCAAGTAGCTGGGATTACAGGCATGTGCCACCACACCTGGCTAATTTTTTGTATTTTTAGTAGAGACAGGGTTTCACCATGTTGGTCAGGCTGGTTTCGAACTCCTGACCTCAGATGATCTGCCTGCCTCAGCCTCCCAAAGTGCTGGGATTCCAGGCACGAGCCACTGCACCCACCCGCATTTTTGGCTTTTTAATTGCTCAGGCCAAAACTTTAGTACATCCTTGAACCTCTCCTCCTACTCTATATCTGACCCATCCGCAAATCTGTTTAGGTCTACCTCAGACATATCCAAATCCAATCACTTCTCACCATCTGACAATTAACACCCTCATCTATCTAGGCAGTCATCTCTGTTAAGATTGAGCAGTTAAGGAAGTCCTCTAAGCAGATAACATTCAAATCTCTGTTTAAATGTCAGGAGGGAGCTGATTTTATGAGATTGAGGAGACAGCATTATTTTGCTGTATGCTTCCATTTGGTTTCCCTTCCATTCTTGATACTTATGGTATATTTCAAAACAAATGAATAGAAACAGACCCAGGTATATATGCGATATAAATAGAATTCCTAGTTAGTTGGGAAAGGATAGACTAGTCTATAAATGATGCTGGTTATCCATCACCTGGCAAAAAATAATTTCCTTCCTCCTCTCATACATATCAGATCAACAGACTTTTTCTCTTAAGGGCCAAATAGTAAACATTTTAGGCTTTGCGGACCATGTGCTTTTTGTCACATTCTCCTCTATCCTTGAAGCCATAGACAATATGTAAGCAAATGGGCATGGCTGTGCTACAATAAAACTTTAGTTACAAAAACTGGGAATGGACCAGTTTAGGCATGATGGCTGATGCCTATAATCCCAGCAGTTTGGGAGGGTGAGGCAGATGGATCACTTGACATCAGGAGTTTGAGATAAGCCTGGCCAACATGGTGAAACCCTGTCTCTACTAAAAATGCAAAAATTAGCTGGGCGTGGTAGCTGACACATGCCTGTAATTTCAGCTATTCAGGAGGCTGAGGCAAGAGAATCTCTTGAACCTAGGAGGCAGAGGTAGCAGTGAGCCAAGATCGTGCCACTACATTCCAGCCTAGGCAACAGAGACTCCATCACCCTGGCTGGAGTACAGTGGCACGATTTGGCTCACTGCAATGTCTGCCTCCTGGGTTCAAGCAATTCTCGTGTCTTAGCCTCCTGAGTAGCTGAAATTACAGGCACATGCCACCAGCCCTGGCTAATTTTTGCAGTTTTAGTAGAGACTGGGTTTTGCCATATTGGCCAGGCTGGTCTCGAACTCCTGACCTCAGGTGATCTGCCTCCCAAAGTGCTGGGTTTACAGGTGTGAGCCAAAACGCCCCACCCCCAAAAAAAGCACAAAATTTGTTACCTAGCAATTCAGTTTTTAGAGATTTATCCTAAAGAAATTCTTGCTTATATGCATAGGAAGACACGTACTAGAGTGTTCATCGGTTGAATGTATAACTGAAAATTAGGAAATATAGTAAATGTTCATTAATAGGGAAATGGATAAATGTATACTTATAAAGACATTAAGTAGCTAAAATGAAAAAACTGGAGTTGCATGAATGAACTAGAACTGCATCAATAGATTATTGAATGAATACAGGTCAGCTATGTGTAAAGTGCCATTTGTGTAAAAAAAAAAATTTGTTTTTTTTTTTTTTGAGACAGAGTCTCACTCTGTCGCCCAGGCTGTAGTGCAGTGGCACAATCTTGGCTCACTGCAATCTCTAGGTCCTGGGTTAAAGCGATTCTCCTGCCTCAGCCTCCCGAGTAGCTGGGATTACAGGAATGTGTCACCATGTGTGGCTCATTTTTGTATTTATAGTGGACACGGGGTTTCACCATGTTGGCCAGGCTGGTCTTGAACTGCTGACCTCAAGTGATCCACCCAACTTGGCCTCCCAAAGTGGTAGGATTACGGGTGTGAGCCACCATGCTTGGCCATTTGTGTAATTTTTAAAGATGTACAGAATAATACCATTTAAAAATATATGTATATATTTGGCTGGGTGTGGTGGCTCACACCTGTAATCCCAGCACTTTGGGAGGCTGAGGTAGGAGGATCACTTGAGCCCAGGAGTACAAGACTAGCCTGGACAAGATAGCAAGACCCCATCTCAACAACAGAAAGCATAATTAGGCATGGTGGCATGAGAGAATCAATTGAGCCCAGAAGTTCAAGTGAGTATTATCAGGCCACTGCACTCTAGCCTGGACAACAGAGCAAGACCCTGTCTCAAAAAAATAAAAATTAAAAAAATTGTATGTGGTAATAGTCAAAAAACTACATGGAAGGAAAGCATCTAATTTATTTATTATTTTTTTGAGACAGAGTCTTACTCTGTCGCCCAGGCTGGGGTGCATTGGTGTGATCTTCACTCACTGCAACCTCTGCCTCCTGGGTTCAAGCAATTCTCTTGCCTCAGCCTCCTAAGTAGCTGGGATTACAGACATGTACCATGCCACCCAACTAATTTTTTGTATTTTGAGTAGAGACAGGGTTTCACTACCTTGGCCAGTCTGATCTCCAACTCCTGACCTCAAGTGATCCTCCCACCTCTGTGGGATTACAGGCATGAGGCACTTCGCCCAGCCAGAAAACATCTAATTTAATATAATATTTATATCTGGGAAGGGAGGGGTCAAGTGGTGATTCATAGGTACTTTGAGCCCTATGTATAAATACTTAGGGGGACAAAAGGAAAAACAGCAAAATGTTGATATTTGATTGTTGGGTTGTGTGTACTTGAATGGTAATATAACACAGGAGATCTGATTGATAGTAGGAGAATGTTTTCAGGGTGGTAAAAGTGGAACTGTGGTGGTGTATTTTGACAGTAGAATCAGTTGGTCATAGTTTGCATGTGGAAGGTAATAAACAGACCATATGAAGGATGACTTCCAGAATTTTGGTCTGAGTAGTGGGTGGATGACACTGTCATTCATGAGAGAAGATGAAGACTGAGTAGGAACAGGTTTGGGAAAAGATGACATGTTCCATTTTAGACAAGTGGAATTATGGAAGGTGGCAGGTATGTGGTTAGCTACATGAATTTGGGATAAAAGATTTAGGAGTAACAGCATATCTGTGTTATTGTAAGCCTTAAGAATGGGTAGATCAGCCAGGAAATACATGTGTACATGCAGAAGAGAGGAGTCGAGGAAGCCAAGACGAGTTAATGTTTCAAGTGAGAGATTTAGTCCATGGGCAGATGCTGCTGAGCGGACTGCAAACACCAGTAACCTACAGCGTTTTTAAATGTTGTCTTCCTGACAGCTGTGATCAGTACCTGCAGTGATCTTATTTATTTTCACATTGTCCACACACTTGAATGTAAATTGCTTTTCTGAAGGCAAAAGCATTGCCTTTTCTGAGCTGGGAGCCTGACTGGCACATACCAAGTACTCAACTGTTGATGGATTGACTTCAGCCAGATACCCTGAGGGCAAGTTATTTCCTGCTACTAGCCTTTCACCTTTTAATGTTTAAGAGCACAAATAGAGAGATGGGCACATTTTGGCATTTCTTATTTTGCTAACCTTTTCATGGTAAGATTTTTTAAAGTTTAATGTTGAAAAAATCACAAGAAAAGAAGGTTAAAAATAGCCTTATGTCAGAGCCTGTAATAGAATTCACACTTGGCTTAAGCTGCTGGGCAGCCTCCTTTCTTGGATGTCATATTAGCTTATCTACAGCAGAGTTTTTCCTGTTTTGTGTAATAAAGGAGCAATTATATGATTATTTTACAGACAAATTGTTAGACTTTGAGTGTTAGAGGTTTAGAATGTTTGTACTTGGTGGAATGGGAGGAATAAGAAGATGTGATACACAACCAAAGAACTTTCTTCACTGTGCTTCTAGTAGCCAGTACTATGGAGGGTAATGTTGGCTAACATTTGTCCTAAATTTACTGTAGTTACTCTTCTAAGTCCCTTTTTTTTTTTTTTTTTTTTAAATCAACAACCCTCTAAGGTAGTTTTTATTGTTGACCTACTTTTATAAATCAAGGAAATTAAGAGCCAGAGAAGTAAAGGAACTTGTCCAAGATCACATGGCTTATAAGTGGTAGAGCCAAAATTTGACCCCAGGTGTTGTGACTGCATTGTCTCTGCATAAGCAGGTTCAGCTCTTTTGACTGGATGCTGTTTCAGGGTCACTTCGTTAGAGAAGCCTTTGCTGACAGCTGCCCTCCTGTGCCCTCCTCCAAGGCTGTCCATTGTTCTAGAACTTTGAATACTCATCTTAGAATAAAGCTGGTCTAATTTTTACAGTGTTATAGAATGGATCCCTGACTGCAAAAGTTGGTCATAGTGATCTTTTTTATTCCAGTGAAAGGCAAAGAGCAAGAGAAGACCTCAGATGTCAAGTCCATTAAAGGTAAGTTCTGCCACCGGCCATCCACTGCATTCAAAAGTGATGTGCTTTGCGTTTCTGGGGTCTTTAATCCTGTGATCTTCTCTTTTTTGACATTCATTTCTGCCTTATTTTATAATTATGATTTTGATTTATTTCCCTCTTTAACCTGTATATGCTTTAGCACCTAGCATATGAAAAGTAGGCTTTTACATTAATTTTTTCTTTTTGAGATGGAGTCTCGCTCTTATCACCCAGGCTGGAGTGCAGTGGCACCATCTCGGCTCATTGCAACCTCCACCTCCCTGATTCCGGCAATTCTCCTGCTTTAGCCTCCCGAGCAGCTGGGATTACAGGTGCCTGCCACCACGCCTGGCTAATTTTTGTATTTTTGGTAGAGATGGGGTTCACCAGGCCAGTGTCGAACTCCTGATCTCAAGTGATCCACCCACCTCAGCCTCCCAAAAGTACTGGGATTACAGGTGTGAGCTACCGAGCCCAGCCATAAGTAGCTTTTTTTTTTTTTTTTTTTGAGACGGAGTCTCACTCTGTGCAGTGGCATGATCTCTGACTCACCGCAACCTCTGCCTCCTGGGTTCAAGCAGTTCTCCTGCCTCAGCCTCCCAAGTAGCTGGGACTGTAGGCGTGTGCCACCACACCCGGCTAATTTTATTTATTTATTTATTTATTTTTTATTTTTGTATTTTTAGTTGAGTTGGGGTTTCACCATGTTAGCCAGGATGGTCTCAGTCTCCTGACCTTGTGATCCGCCCGCCTCGGACTCCCAAAGTGCCGGGATTACAGGCGTGAGCCACCACGCCCAGTCATAAGTAGGCTTTTACTGAGCCTTGTGTGTGTTGGCCGGATCCTAGTGACTTCTTATTAATCACACATTTAATTGTTCCCTAAAAGTGATTAGTTGACTTTATTTAGTAAGACAAAAAATGAAGATTACTCTTAACTGAGCAGTCTGTTAACTGCAGGAAAGCACTGACACTTACAAGGCTTGGTTTTCTGTCATTTATCCAGAAGTATGGTTGATTACAGTTTTTGCTTTTTTATATGAATGAACAACCTTAATTTATAATATATTCACTTTGTTTATTTTTTGTTGGAATCAAGACATTGTCCTTGTTTATAGATTAGAGCATGCTTTTTAAAGATGCTGTATTATTCACTGATTTTATTATGTCCAGTGTACAGAGATTGAAATGGGAAAATTATAATGGAAATGGTTTCCATAGTCATTACATATTAATTTCATTAATTTGTTTACATAAAACCTGTAGACTGCTACTTATTTAGATTTTTCTTTCAGATGTTTTTATGGTACATTGCTCAAATTGAGTATTCTATATGCTCAATTTGCTGGAGAAAGAGACTAATTATAACTTAGGAAAGTGGTAAAATTAGGGAAAAAATAGGGTAACTTACAGCCTTACAGTAACTTACAGTTTACTTCTTTCTTATCGTTTAAAGCCAGTTGGATTCCACATTAGTTCAAACTCCTTCTTTGAGCAAAATTCAATTGGCATTGATAAGGCTTAAAGCTCTTCTCAAGCTGAGACCTGTAAAGACCAGATCTGATGGTAGTAGAAGGAAGGAACTTAGATGTCTCAGGCAGCAAGAACACCAGTCTTCCACTCTAAACTTTGCCACTAATGGTATGATGTTGGGAAGATTCTTTTTTTTTTTTTTTTTTTTTTTTTTTTAAAGATGGGATTTCGCCATGATGGCCAGGCTGGTCTTGAACTCCTGACCTCAGGTGATCCACCCACCTCGGCCTCCCAAAGTGCTAGAATTACAGGCATGAGCCACCACACCTGGCCCGGAAAGATTCTTTATTTGTTGAATGACAGGATTGACCCAGTGAATTTTTTTTTTTTTTGAGGTGGAGCTTCACTCTTGTTGCCCAGGCTGGAGTGCAGTGGAGCAATCTGGGCTAACAGCAACCTCCGCCTCCCGGGTTCAAGTGATTTCTCCTGTCTCAGCCTCCCAAGTAGCTGGGATTACAGGTGTGCACCACCACACCTAGCTAATTTTGTATTTTTAGTAGAGACAGGGTTTCTCCATGTTGGTCAGGCTGGTCTTGAACTCCCGACCTCAGGTGATCCAGCCCCCTCAGCCTCCCAAAGTGCTGGAATTACAGACATGAGCTACCGAGCCCAGCTGGCCTACCTAATTTCTAAATCTCTACCAGGCTAAAAAATTCTATGCTTACATTCTAATTATGACAAGACACAATCTTGCTTAACATTCACTGACTTAACCTTAGTATAATACGGAAGCAGTACAAGAAACAGCCCTCAAGATGTTTGCGTTCTGCTTAGAAAGACAAATTTATGGCTGGGCACAGTGGCTAACGCCTGTAATTCCAGCACTTTGAGAGGCCTAGATGGGCACATCACCTGATGGCAGGAGTTTGAGACTGGCCTGGCCAACATGATGAAAACCCGTCTCTACTAAAAATACAAAAAAATTAGCCGGCCGGGCGCGGTGGCTCAAGCCTGTAATCCCAGCACTTTGGGAGGCCGAGGCGGGTGGATCACGAGGTCAAGAGATCAAGACCATCCTGGTCAACATGGTGAAACCCCGTCTCTACTAAAACTACAAAAAATCAGCTGGGCATGGTGGCGCGTGCCTGTAATCCCAGCTACTCAGGAGGCTGAGGCAGGAGAATTGCCTGAACCCAGGAGGCGGAGGTTGCGGTGAGCCGAGATCGCGCCATTGCACTCCAGCCTGGGTAACAAGAGCGAAACTCCGTCTAAAAAAAAAAAAAAATTAGCCTGGCATAATGGTGGGTGCCTGTAATCCCAGCTACTTGGGAGGCTGAGGCATGAGAATTGCTTGAGCCCAGGAGACAGAGTTTGCAGTGAGCCGAGATTGTGCTACTGCACTCCAGCCTGGGTGACAAAGCGAGACTCCATCTCAAAGAAGAAAAAAAAGACAAACTTATACACAGAACAGGAGCAAATAAACCAAAATAATACTAGCTGCCATTTATAGAACACCTCTTCTGTTCTGGGCGTTAGACAAAAACTGACTATAACAGTGAACAAGAAAGATTTAGGTTCTGCCCTCACTGAACTTATAGATTAGTGAGGAAGAAGGAACATTAGTCAAATAATTCCACAGATAGCTTGGGCCAGATGGGTAGTAATGGAAGTAAAGAGATCTGAACGGGCTTGAAAAACATTAGGAGGCAAAATGGATAGAAGTTTGTTATTGATTAAATATGAGGTATAAGAGACAGGGATATTTGAGGTTGATTCCTACCTTCCGGCTTGCCTAACAGAACCAAGCCGGGAAATTATATGTTCAGTTTTGGAATGTTGGGTGGGAGGTGCTTTTGAGTCATTCATTTACATATATTATTTTATATGCACAGTAATTTTAGGGTATAAGTTTTAAACCAAAGGTAGGGAGTGATTTTTTTAGAGTCTGGCAAACCTAGGTTGAAATCCTGCCTGTTGCAATGGCTCTTCACTAGCTCATTAACCTAGAGCAAAGTATTCAACTTGTTTTCATTTTTGTCTTCATCTCTAAAATGAGGAAAATATGGTCTTACAAAATTGTCGTGAGACATAGATGAAATAATATCCCAAAAAAAAGGTACATGGAGAAACTAGTATAGTGCCTGGTATATAGTAAGTCTTCCATTGGTAGCTGTCATTGTCTAGCTTTAACATACTCAGCCTTCAGTACGTTGAATTAGTCAAATTAAGTGAAGCATTGCAAGGAGTTCAGAGGAATTTGAGATCAGCAAATGATTTCTGAAGTTTAGGGAAGACTTCATGGAAGTGACACATAACCTTGCATAAAAGTTGAAGAATAAGAAAGATCTAAACAAGAGTGTCTTTCTCTTTTCTCTCTACCTGCCCAGCTTCTTATTTGAGGATATATTGGGCAGAGGGGCTTTCAGACAAGCAAAGGGAGATTTTTACAGAAAGACTGAGATGAAGTTATAGAGACCTGTAAAGACCAGATGAAAGAATTGAGACAGAGGAAGCAGGAAGCCAGTGTAGGTTTTTGGGCAAGATAGTGATGCTCTAAGTATGGGGTTTACGAAAGGTTAGTCTGGAAGAGATTTGCAGGATGGCTACCCCAGAAGTTTTTTTGTTATAATACAGAAAGACTTGCACTGAGGGCATGGTGTTAAAAATAAACAGGTAAGTAAATGTTTAAACATCCTGAAGGAAAAGTCAACAAATCTTGGCAAATAAACAGTTACGATAAAAAAGAATGGGACCACGATTTTGAGTTTTAGAGACTGGTAGATTGAACAGACAGGGAAATCGAGAAGGAGAATCAGACGATGATGTTTTAGGTTGATATTTAGACAGATTGTGGTCGAGATAGTAAGGTTACCATGGGTGGGAATGTCTAGTAGTGAGCAATCAGTGATGTAAGATACAAGATCAAAGCTCAGGTCAAAGACAAGTTACACATACAGGTCAGGGATTTTTCCGGGTTCCACAGAGGTGTGCCCCGGAAGCTGTTGCAGAGTGCATGTGGAGGGCATGAGTAAGACAGTTTCCTTGAATTTGCCAGAATTACTTGTTTGTTTGTTTGTTTTTCCTCTAAGACAGAGTCTCTCTGTTGCCCAGGCTGAAGGGCAGTGGCACAATCTCAGCTCACTGCAACCTCTGCCTCCTGGGTTCAAGTGATTCTCCTGCCTCAGCCTCCCAAGTAGCTAGGATTACAGGTGACCGCCACCATGTCCAGCTACTTTTTGGTATTTCTAGTAGAGATGGGGTTTCACCATGTTGGCCAGGCTGGTCTCGAACTCCTGACCTCATGATCTGCCCTCCTCAGCCTCCCAAACTGCTGGGATTACAGGGGTGAGCCACTGCACCTGGCTCCTTGTTAAGCTTATTTTGGGAGGGGAAGCAAAGGAAGTTACAGCTTTAAAAAAGGTTGATAACTATTGCTCTAGTAATAATTAAAGGTTTGAGAGTAAATATGCTTTCTAGCAGAAAGAATAAAAGAACAAATAGCCTCAAGAAGAAGAGGAGAAGGAAGTA